CTTTATCTTGGGCTTTCACTTATTAGCCAAATGCACTGGCTGTATTTGGCTTGGCTGCAAAAAGGAGAAGGGGAAAACATTACTGAGCTCTAGTAGATTTTAGTAGGAAGGCAATAGTCTGCATTGCATTCCTTTGGCCTGGGAGAGAAGTCATTTCTCTGCCATAGCTGATAAGGAGGCAAAGGCAGGGCTAAAGACGCTCTGATCTTGGGAGCTATGCAGGGTCAACCCTGGTTGGTATTTGGATGGGAGACCACCAGAGAATAGCAAGGAAGGAAACGGCAAAACCACCTCTGAAAACATATATTTCTGATGGTCTTAGGAACCCCTTTGGCAAAGAAGGCTGAAGATCTCTCCAGCTGTCCTTCTCTTCCTTTTTGGAAACAGAATGCCAATCGTCCCATCAAAGAACCTCCTCTGCTGTGATTGGCTGGCCTCTCAGCCAAGGAGAGGGATGTTCCTCAGGCTCCAAACAGTGAGGGGGAAGAGCAGGCGTGCTTGGTGCACATGTGTGGGGCAAGGGAGAGCATGCGAGGCTGGAGGGAGGCTCGCACCACAAAGTCCCCTCAAGGCAGGGGAGTTCTGTGTGGGAAGTTTGGCCCAATTCTGTTGTTGGTGGGGTTCAGAATGCTCTTTGATTATAGGTGAACTATGAATCCCAGAAACTACAACTCCCAAATGTCAAGGTCTATTTTCCCCAAGCTCCACCTGTGTTCACATTTGGGCATATTGAGTATCCGTGCCAAATTTGGTCCAGATCCATCACTGAGTCCACAGTGCTCTCTGGATGTAGGTAAACTACAACTCCCAAACTCAAGGTCAATGCCCACCAAACCCTTCCTGTATTTTCTGTTGATCCCGAGAGTTCTGTGTGCCAAGTTTGGTTCAATTCCATCATTGATGGAGTTCAGAATAGTCCTTGATTGTAGGTTAACTATAAATCCCAGCAACTACAATTCCCAAATGCCAAAGTCTATTTCCCCCAACTAGTGTTCACATTTGACCATATTGAGTATTCATGCCAAGTTTGGTCCAGATCTATCATTGTGCTCTTTGGATGTAGGTGAACTACAACTCCAAAACTCAAGGTCAATGCCCACCAAATCTTTCCAGTTTTTCCTGTTGGTCGTGGGAGTTCTGTGTGCCAAGTTTGGTTCAGTTCCATCGTTGGTGGAGTTCAGAATGCTGTTTGATTGTAGGTGAACTATAAATCCCAGCAACTACAACTCCCAAATGACAAAATTAATTCCAACCCCAACAGTATTCAAATTTGGGCATATGAGGTATTTGTGCCAAATTTGGTCCAGAGAATGAAAATATATTGTGCATATCAGATATGTATATTATGATTCATAACAGTAGCAAAATGAGAGTTATCAAGTAGCAACGAAAATAATGTTATGGTTGGGCGTCACCATAACATGAAGAAGTGCATTAAGGGGTCGTGGCATTAAGAAGTGGATTGCTGTAAGTTTTTTGGGCTGTGTGGCCATATTCCAGAAGCATTCTCTCTCTCAACCTCTGAGGATGCCTGCCATAGATGCAGGAGAAACATCAAGAGAGAGTGCTTCCGGAATATGGCCACACAGCCAAAAAACGTACAGCAACCCAGTGATTATGGCCCTGAAAGCCTTCGACAACACGGTATTCGGAAGGTTGCGAAACGCTGGACTAGATATATTGTCAAAGGCTTTAATGGCTATAATCACTGGGTTGTTGTAGGTTTTTCGGGGTATATGGCCATGTTCTAGAGGCATTCTCTCCTGACGTTTCGCCTGCATCTATGGCAAGCATCCTCTGAGGATGCTTGCCATAGATGCAGGCAAAATGTCAGGAGAGAATGCTTCTAGAACATGGCCATATAGCCCGAAACATGGCCATATAGCCCGAAAAACCTACAACAACCCACTGGACTAGATTGTAGTCCCTTCCAATCCAATAATTCTTTGATGGTTATTAAATGGTGGAGTAATGACACTGATCAGGATCATGCTTTCACATCCTTTCCAAACCCAAAGTGACCCTATTATAGAGTTGTCTTGGCAAGAGGCTGAGAGAGTGTGACTTGCCCCAAGATCCAGTACTGCTTTGTTATCTTACTTCATTATGTTGTTATCCCCCCAAATAACCTTTAAACACCATTAATTATAACATGTTGCTTCCACAATCTGTGACCGATGCAATATTTACGTCAGTGGTGAAAAGATGCACTCTGCACATGTTCCTCTGAACATGTGCAGAGTGCATCTTTTCACCACTGACGTTATGCACTGCCATGTATCTCATCTGCAGAGATTTTGTTTAGCACCAAACACCGATTCTAGCAAAATTGTAAAATTGATGCAATTTGGTGCCACTTGAACTGCCATGGTTGAGTGCTATCGAATTGTGGGAGATGTAGTTTGGTGAGAGACCAACGCTCTTCGGCAAGAAAAGTATGTTTAAGTCCATTTCTAGTGATACTTTTGTCCTTTCCTGACTATGATAAAAGCAACACCAGAAAACAAGACTAATCTAGAAAGGAGGAAAAGTGTTAAGTCAGGAAATGTGACTTCCAAGGCCAAGGGAGGAGAGTTCTCCTTTTGTTTTCTCCATCCACAGCTGAGTCAGGCTTTTTGGGCACTTCAAGCCTTTCAGTCTTTGGCTTGCAACATCCACCTCTGTCCCAGATCAAGGTTTGTCCACACTGCAGAATTAGAGCAAACGCAACACCGCTTTTCACTGCCATGGCTCCATCCTGGCATTCTGGGATTTGTAGTTTGCTACAAATCCCAGCGCTCTCTGATATATGCCTGTCACATATATGCCGTTTGGTACCACTTGAACTGCCCTGGCTCAATGCTATGGGAGTTGTAGTTTTGCATAGTCTTTATCCTTCTCTATCAAAGAGCACTGTGGCTTCATGAAACTATAACTTCCACAATCCCATAGCATTGAGCCATCACCGTTCAAGTGGTGTCAAACTGCCTCCAATGTAGGGTATCGTCTTAGGAATGAAATAAATGTCTGCCTCCTTGGTGGGCACAGCGGGTTAAACCTCTAAGCTGTTGTTGTTGTTGTTGTTATTATATATTATTTTACTCTTATTTATTATTATTATTATTATTATTATTATTATTATTATTATTATTACAGATATAATTTACCTTTATTATTGTTGTCATTGGAATCCCTGGTGGCATGGCAGGTTAAACCGCTGAGCTGCTGAACTTGCTGACCAAAAGGTCGGCAGTTCAAATCTGGGGAGCATGTTGAGCTCTCACTGTTATCCCCAGCTTCTGCCAACCTAGCAGTTTGAAAACATGCAAATGTGAGTCGATCAATAGGTGGGCACAGTGGGTTAAACCGCTGAGCTGCTGAACTTGCTGACCGAAAAGTTGGCAGTTCCAATCCGGGAAGTAGGGTGAGCTCCTGCTGTTAGCCCCAGCTTCTGCTAACCTAGCAGTTGAAAACATGCAAATGTGAGTTGATCAATAGGTGGGCACAGCCGGTTAAAGCACTGAACTGCTGAACCTGCTGACCGAAAGGTCAGCGGTTCCAGTCCAGGAAGCGGGGTGAGCTCTCGCTGTTAGCTCCAGCTTCTGTCAACCTAGCAATTTGAAAATATGCAAATGTGAGTAGATCAATAGGTGGGCACAGAGGGTTAAATCTTTGAGCTGCTGAACTTGCTGACCAAAAGGTCGGCGGTTTGAAACTGGGGAGTGGGGTGAGCTCCCGTTGTTAGCCTCAGCTTCTGTCAAGTTAGCAGTTTGAAAACATGCAAATGTGATTAAATCAAAAGGTACTGCTTTGGCGGGAAGGTAACGGTGCTTTATGCAGTCATGCTGGCCACATGACCTTGGAGGTGTCTATATGCTCAGAGGCACTTTTAGTATTGATCTTCTCTACTTCTGGGCCAGGCATTGAATCCATGGTTATAGCGTAGATCAGGCATGAGCAAACTTTGGCCCTCCAGATGTTTTGGACTTCAATACACACAATTCCTAACAGCCTACAGGCTGTTAGGAATTGTGGGAGTTGAAGTCCAAAACACCTGAAGGGCAGAAGTTTGCCCATTCCTGGTGTAGAACATCTATGGTTACAATGTAGAAGCTTCCCTTGTAGATGCCCTTTTTGCCACCTGGATGGAACAGAAAACACTCTGTATATGCTCAGAGGCACTTTTAGTATCGATCTTTTCTACTTCTAGACCTGGCTTTGAATCCATGGTTACAGTGTAGAAGCATCCCTTGTAGATGCCCTTTTTGCCACCTAGATGGAACAGAAAATACTCTGCATATGCTCAGAGGCACTCTTAGTATCGATCTTCTCTACTTCTAGGCCAGGCATTACATCTATGGTTACAATGTAGAAGCATCCTTGGATGGAACAGAAAACACTCTGTATATGCTCAGAGGCACTTTTAGTATCGATCTTTTCTACTTCTAGACCTGGCTTTGAATCCATGGTTACAGTGTAGAAGCATTCCTTATAGATGCCCTTTTTGCCACCTAGATGGAACAGAAGACACTCTGTATATACTCAGACGCACTTTTAGTATCTATCTTCTCTACTTCTGGGCCAGACATTGAATCCATGGTTACTGTGTAGAAGAGGCATGAGAAAACTTCGGCCCTACAGGTGTTTTGGACTTCAACTCCCACAATTCTTGAAGTCCAAAACACCTGGAGGGCCAAAGTTTGCCCATGCCTGGTGTAGAAACATCCCTTGTAGAGGCCCTTTGTGCCACCTGTCTGGAACAGAAAACACTCTGTATATGCTCAGAGGCACTTTTAGTATCTATCTTCTCTACTGCTAGGCCAGGTATTGAATCTATGGTTACAGTGTAGAAGCATCCCTTGTAGATGCCCTTTTTGCCACCTCCTTTTTTGATTCCCCAGCAAGTGGGTGCGTGTAACTTTAAGAAAAAGTTTGCCTTTCATTCTCTCACTCCTCTGTTCTCCTCCTCCTCCTCCTCCTCCTCCCATTAACCCTGGGAAAGCTGGATGGAATTTGCCCATCCTCCTGTCTCTTCCCACCCACCCCAACAACCTCTCCCTTTCAACTTGCGAGAATCTTTGGCAAGCTTTTCTGCTTCCACTAAAGAACTTTTCTCTCTCTCTCTCTCTCTCTCTCTCACTAGTGTGTGGGAGTGGGTGAGTCAGGATCAGAGCAGAAAGGGGAAAACACATTTCCCTATTTTTTTTCTCTCTTTCTCCTTTTTTCTCTTTTGGAGAGAAGTCAGCACTCTGGTCCTGGAGAGAAAGAGTCGAAAGAGGGGCAGACCCTGTTGGGTGGTCAACTTGGGGAAAGAGATCTCTTGCCTTTCATCCTCACTTCCAGAAAGAAAGAAAGGAGTGAAAGAACAAACAGAGGAGGAGGAAAAAAATAAATAAAAGATCAGGTGCAAGACTTTTTGAGGCAAGCCGGGTGGAAAAAACAACACTCTGCCTTGGGAACCAACACTTAAGTGGGAAATTTGAACTTTTTCACTTGGCTCTCCAACTTGTTGCTGAGCAATCCGAGATACGGACAAACCTCAAGAGCCAGGGAATTATTCTGAATTTCCACCAGGATTTTTTGGCAAGTCAAGGGAGAGAAAGAAGTTGTCTTTTTTTGCTTTGTTGGATCCATCCTTCCATCCATCTCTTGGGTGCTGACTTCATTCTGGGTTTCGTCACTTGTTTTTGTGGAGACAGGGCTCCGGCGACAACAATTCCTTCGGCCTTCTCTCCAGGAGACTTGGGAGAAACAGTCTCCTGATTATTATTATTATTTCTAGGGATCCTTACATCTCTGCCAATGAGACTTTAGTTTGTTTGGAGCCGAAGTTTGCCTGGAGTCTTGGGAAATGGGTCAACTTGGCCGCTCTCTTCTCTCCTGTTTGCTGGTTTGGTGGATGGGCATCTCCAGTGCCCAAGAAGGTAAGAAAGAGTACACCTGTATGCGAATGTGTGTATGCAAAACAAGGTCCACAGCATTTTCAAAGGCTTTCATAGCCAGGATCACTAGATTGTTGTAGGTTTTTCGGGCTATATGGCCATGTTCTAGAAGCACTCTCTCCTGATGTTTCACCTGCATCTGTGACAAGCATCCTCAGAGGTTGTGAGACCTCAAAAACCTATAACAACCCAGTCCACAGCATTGTTTTTTCTTGGTCAATGGCAATTTAAAACAGAATGACTGAGCAGAGATCACCAAAAGTGTCAAGAGCCGGAGTGATGTGATAGATCAGTGATTCTCAACTTGGGGGGTCGCCGAGGGGTGCCAAAGGGGTCACCAAAGACCATCGGAAAACATGGTATTTTCTGTTGGTCATGGACATTATGTGTGGGAAGTTTGGCTAACACTCCACCAGTGTTCACATTTGGGCATATTGTCTATTCGTGCCAAATTTTCAGTCCAGACCCATCATTGTTTGAGTCCACAGTGCTCTCTGGATATTGGTGAACTACAACTCCAAAACTCAAGGACAATACCCACCAAACCCTTCCAGTATTTTCTGTTGGACATTGGGGTTCTGTGTTGGAAGTTTGGCCCAATGCTATCACTGGTGGGGTTCAGAATGCTCTTTGATTATAGGTAAACTATAAATCCCAGCAACTACAGCTCACGAGTGTCAAATCAATTTTCCCCAAACTTCACCAGTCCTCACATTTGGGCAAATTGAGTATTTGCACCAAATGTTCCGTCCAGATTCATCATTGTTTGCGTCCACAGTGCTCTCTAGATGTAGGTGAACTACAACTCCAAAACTCAAGGTCAATGCCCATCAAACCCTGCCAATATTTTCTGTTGGTCATGGGGGTTCTGTGTGGGAAGTTGGGCCCAATTCTATCACTGATGGGGTTCATAATGCTCTTTGATTGTAGGCAAACTATAAATCCCAGCAAGCACAGCTCCCAAATATCAAGTCTATTTTCCCCAAACTCCCCCCAGTGTTCACACTTGGGAAAACTGAGTATTCGTTCCAAATTTTCAGTCCAAATCCATCATTCTTTGCATCTACAGTGCTCTCTGGATGTAGGTGAACTACAACTCCAAAACTCAAGGTCAATGCCCATCAAACCCAGTGTTTTCTGTTGCTCATTGGAGTTCTGTGTGCCATATTTGGTTCAATTCCATTGGTGGTAGAGTTCAGAATGGTCTTTGACTGTAGGTTAACTATAAATCCCAGCAACTACAACTCCCAAATGATAACTCCCAACCCAACCAGTATTCAAATGTGGGTGTATCAGATATTTGTGCCCAATTTGGTCCAGTGAATGAAAATACATCCTGCTTATCAGAGATTTACATTACAATTCACAACAGTAGCAAAATTACAGTTATGAAGTAGCAACAAAAATAATGGCACGGCTGGGGGTCAGTCGCTACAACATGAGGAATTGTATTAAAGAGTCACAACATTAGGAAGCTTGAGAACCACTGTGATAGATAGACTCTTGAAAGTATATCAGAATATCTGGGCACAAGATGCACTTTTTGGCTGGAAGAGATAGAATAGTATTAGCTCGCCTTACAGAGTTGGTATCAGGGTCAAATGATAGAAATCTTACATTGGTTAAGATGCTTCCTGATATGGGTTGCATTTGCACCAGCGGTTCCCAACCTTAGGTCTGCAAGAACTAAAATATGGTCCGCAGCCTCACCATTACTACACTGTTGCAACTAGAGCAACTCGTTTCGCAAAACCCTCTTACAGTGCCGAGGCTTATTAAATATGGTTTTCTGTGGGCGAGCAAATGGCGACTACTGGATAGCATGTATTCTGTATCAGAAACTAGAGCTGATGTGGTCTATCCAATGCAATTTCCTGAACCAGCACCACAAATAACCAAACCAAAGCTAAAGTTGACCAAAAACTGATTTGTAACCCTTTTGGTACTAATGTTGGAGAGTGGTCCCTGGTCAAAAAAAGGTTGGGAACCACTGATCTACACTGAAGAATGAATGCAGTTGTGACACCATTTTAACTGTGACACTCAATGCTATATTTTCCTGGGATATATGGTAGTTAGCACTCTTTGGCAGAGAAGGCTAAAGACCTTGTCAAGCTATAACTCTTGTGATTCCAGAGCATTGTAACCAATCCACGGTAGTTCAAGTGGTATCAAGCTGCATTCATTCTACAGTTTTAATTCATCCCCAGACTCTTTAAAGTAGAGCAGATTATCTGGACACACAATGCATTTTGGCACAGGGTGACACTCATCACGACCCAGCCTTAACCTGCCTTGCAGGGTTGGTGTGTTTGGGCCAAATGGCCAAAAAGTCCTTCTTGTTTATTTGACACAACTTTGGGCAAGTGATGGTCTCTCAGCCTCACTTATCTCATAAGGTACTTGTACGGATACAATATGTTTGTGTGTGTCACCTTGGAGTTTTGAGAAGTTACTTGGGCTAATGACCATGGATGCTGCTGTTCATTAGATGCCTTGTTATAAAGTGTCTTCATAGGTAAAGGTAAAAACTTCCTTTGATATTAAGATTAGTCATGTCCAACTCTGGAGGATGGTGCTCATCTCCATTTCTAAGCCAAAGAGCCGACATTGTCCATAGACACTTCCAAGGTCATATGGTCAGCATGAATGCATGGAGCAGTGTTACCTTCCCACAGAAGTGATACCTATTGATCGACTCCCATTTGCATGTTTTCAAACTGCTTGGTTGGCAAAAGCTGGGCCTAACAGTGAGAGCTCACCCCGCTCCCTGGATTCGAACTGCAGAGCTTTCGATTAGCAAGTTCAACAGCTCAGATGTTTAACCTGCTGCACCACCAGGAGCTATTATTATTATTATTATTATTATTATTATTATTATTATTATTATTACCTATATAAATAAAAATGTAATGTTCGTTTGTGGGATTAACAGAACTCAAAAACCACTGGATGAATTGCCACCAATTTTGGACACAATACACCTACTACCCCAAGGAGTGACCATCACTCAAAAAACATGGATTTCATCATTTGGGAATTGTAGTTACTGAGATTTATAGTTCAACTACAATAAAGAGCATTCTGAACCCCACCAATGATGGAATTGAACCAAACTTGGCACATAGGACGCCCACAATCAACAGGAAATTTTGGAAGGGTTTGATGGGCATTGACCTTGAGATTGGGAGTTGTAGTTCACCTACATCTGGAGATCACTGTGGACTCAATCAATGATGGATCTGGATCTAACTTCGCACGAATACTCCATATGCCCAAATGTGAACACAGATGGAGTTTGGGGAAAATAGACCTTAACATTAGGGAGTTGTAGTTACTTGGATTTATAGTTCACCTACAATCAAAGAGCATTCTGAACCCCGCCAACGATAGAATTGGGCCAAACCTCCCACACAGAACCCCCATGTGGGCTAAAGCAACGTGTGGCAGGCGATGGCTAGTTGTTGTTGTTATTGTTGTTGTTATTGTTGTTGTTGTTGTTATTGTTATTATTATTATTATTATTATTATTATTATTATTATTATTATTATATGAAGTACTATCTAAAAACCTCCAGAAGCAAAGGAACACCGCATAGCTAGATCACAACAGCCCTGCAAGGTAGGGATGCCTCTCTCTAGGATCACAACAGCCCTGTGATGTTGGGATGTTGTTTGGTCTGATCACAACAGCCCTGTGAAGTAGAAATACTTCTTAAGAGGATCACAACATCTCTGTGAGGTAGAGGTGTCTCAGTTCAGGGTCACAACAATACTATGAGGTAGGGACACCTTTTTAGCAATATTTTAAAAGCCCTGTGAGGTCAGTTAAGGTGAAATCAATAGGTCAAGGCTAGCCTGTGAACTCTGTAACTCCATAAAGGATTCCAACAATCTCTTTACCCCAGGTCTGATGTTCTTATCTCTTCTACTACTGACAAGAGAATGAACAGGGTGGGATTTCAAAGCAGCCAAGTCTCCTTTTCTTGCTGCGTCTGGGGATCGGGTGGTGGTTGTTGATGATTCAGTTGTCCGTTTTGGGAGATTTTGTGCGCTTTAGGAATTTGGCCACTCCAGGTGCTTTCAGCTGGGCCACATCAGTCACCACTGTTGCGAAATCACAACACCCCCTTCGTCTCTGGGTTTAGAGGGGAAACATGACTCTTTGTAACCTGAGAGTTACAAACAATGATTGGTAGCCGGAGCCAAGAGAGAGCTTCAGTGTTGTGACCTGATGCCTTGAAGAGCTGTACGGTTCTGATTTCTCTGCGCTGGCAGTTCAAGAATCAACACCAGTTATCACTGTATTTGGAGCCCCCAGTGGCGCAGTGGGTTAAACCCTTGTGCCGGCAGGACTGAAGACCGACAGGTTTCAGGTTCGAATTCGGGGAGAGCGCAGATGAGCTCCCTCTATCAGCTCCAGCTCCTCATGTCTCATGCAGGGACATGAGAGAAGTCTCCCACAAGGATGATAAAACATCAAAATATCTGGGCGTCCCCTGGGCAACGTCCTTGCAGATGGCCAATTCTCTCACACCAGAAGTGATTTGCAGTTTCTCAAGTTGCTCCTGACATGACTGTCTATGACTTGCTTTGGATTATAATGCCCAGAATTTTAGGCATATTGGGCACTGTAGTCCAGAACAGGTAAAACTGCTCCAACATTCACTTACTGGTATTTTATGCCACTGCTATACATGACCTCGAGCAAAACCCTGTTCCTTGGAGTTTGCAAAATACTTTTTGAGAAGTCTGGAGTGGCAGGAAATTAAATGAACCAAATTATCTAATCCAGTGTTGCTCAACCTGGGGGTTGGGACCTGTGGGGGGGGGGTCGCAAGGGGGTGTTACAGGGGTCACCAAAGACCATCAGAAAACACAGTATTTTCTGTTGGACATGGGGATTCTGTGTGGGAAGTTTGGCCCAATTCTATCATTGGTGGGGTTTAGAATTCTCATTGATTGTAGGTGAACTATAAATT